AAACCCACACCTGCCGACCACTTCTACAATCCTGGAGTACTCATCGCTCGGGCTCTTTAGAGCTTTTCTCCTGGTGGAGACGTTATAGAAAAGATCCTCCACCTGCAATCAACAAGAAAAGCAGCTTCTCAGCATCTATAAATTGTATTTTAGAGAACAGCTCATCTGCAAGGAGAACTCACAAGGATCTGCGTTCCCTGGTTTCCAGCACATGGTTTGGGAGGGCCTTTTAGTTTGCCATCGCTGTAGTTGGCTCTGCAAGAGAACACAACAAATTTATGAGAGAGCTGACATCCTAGTTGTTTTGTAGCCTTTAGTAAGGCTTTAGAGCAGATAAGGAATGCAACAGTACCTGTAAGCGCACTTTGCATCAGCAGTCTTTGTGGTTATGGTCACATGGGCAACATGGCTTATACTAGCAAGGGCCTGCAGACAAGAACAAACACAATAAATGTAATGCAGAACAAATAAATACAGTGAAGGCAGACAGAGGTGCACAGCTCACCTCTCCTCTGAATCCATAGGTTGCGATACTCGAAAGGTCCTCAAAAGTTTGAAGTTTGCTCGTGGTGAACCTCTCACAAACGATTTCCATGTCCTCCTTCTGCAGTAGTGAAAAAGAGTTTCACTTGGTACACAGCATATTCTGAACAAACTACCATAACGTCACCAGCAGGGTCATTCTGAGGCAACCCTTCATACTGACCCTTAAAATTTGAAGTGATTTTTAATCAAAGCCAAACAAAGAATTTTGTTTTTCATAGCATAAATATGTCTGACGTAACATAAAACATCATTTGTAAGCTTGTTTGTAAGCTTAGGCACTCATTCAGTTTTAACTTCATGCATTCAGTTGTTATAGTCATATATCATTGTATGCTTGTTCCTCACTGTGGTGGGAAAACTAAAGCCTGTGACAAGTAATTATGAGTAAGTACTATGTAATTCTCCATCTGGTCAAAACTAAGATTTATACAATTTAACAATACATCACTGTGGGTTGGAACATGAAAATCATGTCATTTTAATTACATTTTCTTGAAAAATCAATCCTTTTTTTTTAAACTTATATTACTTCTCATTTTATCATATTTAATGTTACCACAAATTACTGGGGCAAATTGTTAGAAGACATGAAAAAATGGCTGTAGTTACAAGAAAACAGCTCAAGTATAAAATGTTCAAATGTGTTAACAAGTACACTTGAGTTGGTGTCTTCCGTCTTTCAGTTCAGGGAAAGACTTAGCACACTCAGTGACAGAAGAAA